AGTTATATATTGTTGTTTTATGTGTAACTAATATGAAGGAGTTGAAAGTATTAGTTTATGAGGACAATGAGTTGCCCGACGTTAATCAAACTAATAATGTTGTATATAAGGAGGTTTTTAATAATGAATTTTCATGACAAATTTTTTATGATTACTTGACAAATGCTCTACGTATTTTAACTTATTGATTTTTTAACCTTTACCAAAATAAATATTGTCCGTGCATCGCACGGGTTACGTACTAGTTAAAGCTTCATTAAAATCCACTAATTCACTAAAACCCGACTCACCCTCACACTTAGACCAAGCCAAATGCCCCCACTGAGCCCAATGAATTCTTCTACCCCCCTCATCATTTCCTCCCCACCAGAACCCTGCAATATCTCTACACAACTCTCTACAAATACCCACGGGGATTCTATATACAGACATAACTTAAACAAAGAGAGCACTTAAAACTGTTTTGATAAGAATCTCTTTCCCTGCCTCACTTAAAAAGATATTCTTCTAATTTGAAACCTTAGCCACTACACACTCCCTCACAAAGGCAAAAGTATCCCTATTACTTCTACCAATCACCATAGGAAGCCCCAGATTTATGGAGCTCTTAGCCATCACAACCCATTTAGAGTTTGGCAGATGGCCACTCTTACAGGATTAAGAATGTTCCCAGAAAAGAAAATATTTAATTTTGACAGATTAACAGATTGACTAGATGCAACACATTAGGTATTTAGAATAAGACGCATTAGAGAAGCATGATGATGATCTGCCTTACAAAAAATAAGAGAATCGTCAGTGAAAAACAAGTGAGACACACTAGGGGCATGATAACTGACCTTGAGGCCCATATAAGACTTGGAAATACAGGCTTGATGTATCAGATTTGACAAAACTTCAGACAAAATGATAAGAAGATAAGGGGATAATGGATCCCCTTGCCTCAAACCCCAAGACAAAACTGATGCAGGCCCAAATCCAGATAAAAAAGACTAACAAAAACTCATATGTCTATAGACCCTAATCAAGAAACCCTACTCAACCCTGTCATATGCTAACTTTATGGCCATGAAGCATTTCTTGCCTTTTTCCTTCTGTTCAATACATGTATACACTCATTAGCTATGATCACATTGTCTAAGATCATCCTACCTGGGACAAATGCAGCCTGGGTTTGAGATATGCAAACTTGGAGCACATGCTTGATTATATTAGCTAGAATTTTAGCTATCAATCTCTAGGTAATGGTGCAAAGACTAATGGGCCTATAGTCTGTTACTCTCTGGGGAATTTGACTTTTGGAATGAGAGTGATAACTGTGTGATTTGTAGTCTTTGGAATGCACTCAGAATGAAAAAAGTTTGATATAGCACTGACTAAATCATGTTTGATTATGTCCAAGAAGATTGAAAAAACATAGGAGAAAATCCATCTATATCTGGTGCCTTGTTTGGGTCCATCTCTCGCAAATCTGCTTTAATTTCTTCCTCTACAACAGTTCTAGTGAGTCTTTGATTCATAGCAGGTGTGATAGATCTTGGAATGGCTTGCAACACCTCAGGATTAAAGCTAGAATTCTGAGTTTTAAACATCTGGTAATAAAAAGTCAGAGATCTCCTTCAAGTATTCTTCATCACTTTCACATTTCTTTTCTAGTCTAGTAATCAATTGCTCTAAGTTGTTCCTGCCCTTTCTTTGCCTCACACAAGTCTGGAAAAGTCTGGTATTACTATCTCTTTCTTTTAGCCATCTGACCCTTGCCTTCTGTTTCCAAAAAATTTCCTCACCCTTCTATGCCTGGTGAACCTGTATTTTGCATTAAACCCATTCATCCCAGTCTCTCTGCCCTCTCTGTTGCCCTAGTATTTCAAGCTTGGCATTGCATGATTTAATAGTTTGAAAAGAGTTTGTGTCTTTCCCATCTAGCCACCCAAGTAGACCTCATTTAACACATCTCAACTTTCTTTGGAACTTGTATACCCCCTGTACCATTAACATTTATATCCCCTGCCTTTTTAAGACAATCTTGGTATCCTTCAGCTTTCACCCACCTGCTATAAAAAATGAATCTTTTCTTCTTGCTTTTACTAGGTCCTTCAGCATCCATAATCAGAATACAGTGATCAGATGAAAATTGAGAAATGTGTTGAACTGAGACTTCTGGGAAAGAAACAAACCACTCTGGGGTGTCATGTACTAGGACAACTTAACTTCTACAAAGTCCTCCCCTCCTATTATTTGACCAGATGAAAGGGTGTCATGTACTACGACACTTAATCCCCTTCAAAGTAGACACAAATCCCTAAAACGTTTAAAACTAGCCTCCCCTCTCAGCACACCCCCTTTCTTATCATCATTATCATTAAAATCACCTGCAACAAACCACAAATTACCCCACTTATGTTGGTGCTTACAAAGAAAGTCCCATTGGGATTGTCTCTCAGCAGGTAAAACACTTGCATACACATAAACAACCCACCAAACCTCAGTCCCCCCTTTCCACCTAAACTCAACCTGAACACTAAAATCAGAAAGGACACAATCCACAATATCCACATTTATGGACCAACATAACAAAAGACCACCCTTGGACCCTACAGGATTAACATACACCCATCTACTATCCATATGAATATTTTTACAAACAGTTTGAACAAAAGATATTTTCTTTTTAGTTTCATAAATAAACACAAAATCTGAGAGATAGGCCCTTAGATTAGCCTTCAAATGGGGAATTGTAGAGGGTCCTCTCAAACCTCTCAAATTCCACACCAAAACTCTTATTTGGAACTTTGGGACCATATTGGTTGGTTTCCTCCATCTTTAGATAACCATTATCCATGTTTTTTTTTTTTTGGAAGAATCAAGATAATCTACCTCAAACACCTCAGTGTCTGTTATAGTTTTCCTTTCCAAAAGAGACATATCACCGTGAGATTCACAAAAATCTACCTGTTTATCAGAAGTTTTGTTTTTAGACTCCACATGTTAACTTTTGGTAATCCTAACAAAAGATCTCTGACTCTTAGGAACATGGACCTTTTGTTCGATTTGACCAACATGCACACTAACAAGGTTGCTAAGATCCAGGTCATAGATCTTGCTAGCATCTAATTCCATGGGTTCAGAAGGGCTAGGACCTATTTCCTTTATGCCCTCCTCTTTATTCTTGGATGGCTCCACCCCATTATTACTGCTAACCATCTCTTGGCTCTTGCTACCCTGATCTTTAGATTGCTCAAGCCCTCTTACCTCAGGCCCTACAATTTTTTGGGCTTTAGGTTTTTCAGGCATATCACTAGGCTTCCCTTCCCCACCCAAAGTTGTTTTAGCCTTACTAGACTCAGACTTAGCCCTCTCACTCGAAGGACTTGAGGATCTTTTTTCTCTAGAATCAGAGAACCCCCCCAAAAGATCCTCTTAACCACTCCCCATATTGCCTAGATCTCAACACATTTCTCTGCACATCAGATTTCTTCACCTAACATATTCTATCACGATGACCTATACGACCGCAATAAAAGCAAAAAGTTAAAAAATTCTCATACCTAAACTCCATCCACTGCTCCTCTTGCCCAACTTTATGGTTGTACCTCTAGGTATAGGCTCCAAAAGATTGACTGTTGCAAGAATTTTAACCATATTACCGTTGTAGCTGGTAGCTCCTAGAACAACTACATCAAGAACTCTATCAAATATCCTTCCAACCTTAACTCAAGTTTCCTCACATACCAATGCAGTGGCAATTTGTGTCTTTGTACCCATAGCTCCACTGTCAACTCTTCATCTCAGAATTCCACCTCGTTTTTCTTCCATTCCTTAAGTAGCAGATATTGTCCATCAAAGGACCGGACCACACTTTTCCATGAAGAACTTTAGATCTATCTTCCTCCGATTGGAAAAGAATCTGGAACAAGTTCTGTCCTAGGGCTCTGATGTTGAACGGTTGAGATGTATACCATACCCTCACCATTGTTGTTTTCAGCCCATTGAGATTCACCTTTTTTTTCTCCGAAAATTTTGCCAATTAAGCTAAGCTCACACCCCTGTAAGCTTGGTTTTATATCTTCTTCTGAGAGAGCGATGCCCCCTTTCTCCTTTGCAAATATAGCAAATTTAGACATCTTCTCAACTAGACCTTGCGCCATATCACCACCACTATCAATATCTCAACTCACTAGAACAAAAGCATAATCCGAAAATCAAAAACGCCCTGCAGAACACAAACAAACCAAAAAACAGACACTTCGGATACAATAAATAAAACAGCCCCCGATCTAAAACACCCACCCAGGAAAACTCCCACCCTACTACTACCAACCGCACTGCCCCCAACCCGCAGAAACCCCAAAAATAAAAAACCACCAAATCACAGAAAAAATCCTAATTTTCAGAGCGAAATTTGGGGAGCAAAAACACTAAGTAAAGAAACGAAACCAGGGAAATGATACTACAAGATTCATAACTAAAATACGAGAAAGAAAGAGGATTAAAGATCATATCGGGAACACTCCATATGCAATGGAACTTCGAAATCCAAAAGGAGAGGTCTCCATACGGAAACTAAAATACAAGAAAGAATCGCGATCGAAAATTTGAGGATTTTTACTTTCCATTCTCATCGGGACGGAGGAGAATGCCACAACTAGATGTGGCTTTCTGTCAAACCCCATCAGATCATGGTTCACGCAACCATGCCCATAACTTTGTAATCATTTAAAACAAGAGAAAATTACTGTAAACACTATCCATTTGACTTTTTATTACACAATAAATATCAATTTATAAATAATTACATTATTAAATAAAATTTAACTTTTATTTGCAGATATGCCACAAAAGTTATTAGTCTGATTTTTTGAACAAATCACAATATCATTACAAACCGCTACCCGATAAAAAAGTGTATCAGATTTCAACTTTATTATCTCTCCCACTACCCTGTCCATCGTCTTCATTCAACTGCAAATAAACCCTATTTCCGCTCAACCTCAACATCAATGGCAAACACCAAATTTGGAAGAAGCCCATACAGTGGAGACGGGATTTCTCCACATCGGAGGTCGAGTTCCCGTCTAAGGAATATCAAATCGAACAAGCACCCAACCCTTGTACAAAAAAAACTGCAGTTCGACAAGAAAGGGACCAGATCGGAAAAAAATATGAACTCACCGGATTCCGATTTTGAGGATGAAATTGAAGCCGAAGTAAGTGACAGTGAAGAATGCTCCGTCGATGAAGAAGAAGACGAGAAAATAATTAAAGATAAAACCAACAAACGCAAAATCCACAGTCGGCCTCCACATAAACCGAGTGTCGATCCCAGAAATCCCGTTGAAGAATTGAACATAAGTGAAAGTGTTAAGGTAAATCCAGATATTTTTTTCCGATTTTCATTTTTTCCTCTTATTTTGTCAGTAAGTATTACTTGAATGTGTGTCATCTTTTTTACTCATTGTATGCACACCATTTTTTTGGTGTTCTGTATAGTGTTATTCAATTTGTTGATTGTGACCTCAAATAGCTTCTTTCAATTTTTTATCAATGTCGTTTTTTTTATTGATGTTTGTCTGTTGAAGGTAAAAAATCTTTGTCAATTAAAATTCCCTTTTTTTTTTTTTTTTGCTGT